ACACAGTGCCCGCGCCTGGCTCTCACTGCGGGATCGTGAGCTTGAACTCCACCTTCCCTTCGTAGGGGTCGTGGGGGTTGTCGAAGGTCACGCGGTCCGCGATGACCTTGCACACGACCTTGACGTCCGTGTCCGTGGGGATGTTGAGCAGCTTCGCGGCCACCAGGGGGTTGCTGTAGTGGGGCTGGGGGAGGCAAGGGGCTTCAGGAGCCTGGCGCTTCGTGTCCGGCCTCTGGCAGGACTGCAGGGCCCCCACGGGCCCTGGAACCCGCTGGACAACCGGAGGTCGGGTGGGCAGGGAAGGCCGCCCGGCGCTACACACCCCTGCCGGCGTCCGAGGAAGGTGGGCACAGCCGCAGGGTCAGGTGGGGCGGGGTGGGGCGTGGGCGGGAGGTGTCAGGGTCAGGCTTGAGGTGGCACGTCACACGTGTGTGTCCAGGGGGCCAGCGGGCCGGTTTGGGGAACACCCGGCCCCTGAGCTGGTCAGCACCACCTGTGTCTTGCCTCATTCCGTCTGCGTCTGTACAGACGGGCTGGCGTGCCTTTGGGTCGGTCTGGACCGACGGAGGCCGCCCCCGGGGCAGGGGGAGGCGGAGGGAACCCACCTGAGCTTTCTTCCCGTAGTAGGGGAAGTAGTGTCGGCTGAAGGTGCCGTTGGCCGGGTAGTACTCCACCTGCAGCGGCTGGACATCCTTGCGGGGCGGGCCCTGGGGAGACACGCCCCCGCCGGGCAGCCGTCGGGTGTGTGCGTGTGTGCCAGCTTGCGTGTGTCTCTGCGTGTGTGCGCGTGGTGTGCGTGTTCCTGCACGCTTCCTAGAGGCCCAACGCCTGTGTCAGACGGGAGCCGGCGTGTGCCCGTGGGTGTGGGCTTGCGTCTGTGCTGGCGTGTCTGCGTGTGTGTGTGTCTGTGTTGCTTGTGTAAGCACAGTGCTGCACCATCACCACTAGGTGTCTCTCTGCCATCGGCGCTGAGATCCCGCTCGCGACGGCTAGAGCGCCTGCAGAGGCTTCGGCGGCCCCTCCCGCGTGTCCTTCCCCCAGTGTGGAGTCTGCCAGGACACGCGTGGCAGGGCTTTGAGTCCGCGGGGCGTCTGGGCCGAAGGCTGGTGAGCCCAGAGTGGGCTTGCCCCGGGCGGCGCGGGCATGCCTTCCAGGATCCGTGCAGACTGTTTCGCAAGCTCGTGTCCTCCCGTGGTGGGAACCAGAGAGGGCGTGCGGGAGGCCCTGGCGTATCGGAGAGCGGGTGAGGGGGGCCGGGGGGCTTTGGCATCTGTGAGGCTCTCGTGGCCAGGATGTGTGAAGACGGAAAGCCACTCCCTGCAGCCCCCGGGGACGGTGTGCTTGGGACAGGCTTGGCTTTTAAAGTCGACTTCAGCAGCAGTTTTGGGAAAGACTGAATTAGCTCGAGGTTAAGGCCAACCCTCAGGAGTCCGTGAGCTAGGCGTGATTAAACAACAGAGGCTGCTGTGGTCGGGAATGTTTTGGCAAAGGGCAGATAAGGAGAACAGAGATTAAAAGCGCGGGATGGCTGCGTGGCGGGGTGGAAGTGGCGGGCTTCGCCAGATCGCCCAGGCCCGTGGGGTGCGTTGGCGCTCGGCGGCCCAGACGCCCCGAGAGGCCAAAGACAGCCGCAGGCAGGGTGCAGGCGTTCCCCCCCCCCGGCCTCGTCCCGGCGGGGGCTCCCGCGGGCTGCGGCTCCCAGGTCACCAGCATCCCTGGTCCCCAGACGGGAAGCTCCCAGCGCCTCCCGCGAGCCCAGAACAGACGGCCCTCTCCAGATGGCCGCCGCGTCTCCACCCACCTGGAAGGAGCAG